GAAAGAGCCTGGTTACGTGCTTGCTTTCTCACAGCGTCTGACACTGTCACACCACGTAGCTTTAAACCATCTTTAATCTGTCCATTAACTTTAGACATCACATTCTCATTTGTCCCTCTGGGAGATTTTTGATAGCTATGTTAAGATCACGACACTGACTGTTTTGCGATGTTTTCACAGCGACACTATACTGTTTCTTGAGTATGTCCACGTCTTTCTTAACACAGTCTATCTCTTCACACACGCTCTCCTTCACTTCAGAAAGACCTGTCTCAATTTTACGGTCAATAACTTTACCCAGATGTTCAATGATCTTCTGTTCCATATTTGTTTCGAGTTTATCAATACGTGATGAAAGCTGGCCGAACAACATGTGTAGGTCAGACGACAGTTTAGTAATGGGATCAAAGTCACAGGGGATTACCTTGATGTAGTTTTCTTGAATCATCATCCTTCCTGGATTTCTTGTTCGATAGTTCATCAGATTCTCCCTCGTAGCTATGTGATCTCTTCAGACTGCTGTGGGTCGGCGTTATGTCCGCAACCACAGTGATCTTTCACCCGCCATTACGTTGTCAACGAAGGCTTGGGACAGGCTCACGTCCAGACTTTCCGAGTTCATATTATCTTTTCGGCTGGACGTTTACGACCAAATCTTCCTAATAATGAATGTTCACGCTTACTTTAACGTTATAGATGTACTTTTGAGTCTCTGCAGGTCAGATTCTTGGTTAAAAGTCAGTATTTGTCAGAGCTCTCCTTATGGTGACCATTCAATCTCACGCATGCGTACATGTAAGCATCATTGATGTTTCTTGCTGTGGCAAGTTTTGTTTCAATATTTCTAATTACAGAGTTTATCCTTCCCAATATTTTCCTGCAGAAACTGGTTGGAAATCTTATTGGCGTTGTACCGGTCAGACTTGTTACTCGAGATAACGTCACATTTATCCTTGCTGGGAGGAAGCAACATTTCCCACGTAAGAACAGAATGATCGGGAATACTTACGGGGACGTTGGATCCATCAATGATGTCCGACATTTTTATCACATTAAAATCTTTAAAAAACTGCAAATGCTCAAGAGCAGTCACGACATAATCTACCACCGATTATCCGTTCCTGATGCATGTGTAATCCTGACTGCCCAGTCTACCGTTCAATACACACAAATTAGCTTCCACCAGGAAATCCAGGAACAGCTGACCATAGGAATTATGAATTGTGATCAATTACCTCTCTCTCTGGTACTCCATCCACGCCCTGAACATAGTCCAGGTGATTACTTATCCTGGCATTAAAATCACCACAGATACACAATATTCCTTCATTCTGGAATAGGTACAGCTTTTCGAGTAGCGTATTAAAGAATAATTCCGCATCATTTGCCCGGGTTGATCCCAGGGGTGGTAAATAGCAAACACACAGCACAATATTAAAACTATTATCACTGAATGGAATCAACTTTAGCCACATGATGCCGTCGTCTTCACGATCCAATACTTCCACTCTAAATGACTCTAGTAGAGAATTTCTTATAAAAAACCCAACTCCACCAGAGCCTCTCCTAGCACGTTTACTGATTTTTAACCTGTTATTTCCAAACCAGGTATACCCGTCTAGTGCAATACTTGCAGAGCCCTGTAGAAATGTCTCACAAACACCAAACACATCATAATTTAAATGGCTAACTACATGTTCACGGAACTGACTATTATCCAGATATCGTTGTGCCCAGCCACCTACATTCCAGAGTCCAAGCCGCCAAGGATCCTAGGCTTTGGTTTTGTTAGCAACCAACCGGTTCCATGATTATCTTGATGTCACCACAATTATATTTCTTCTCTCTATGTTGTACGGGAGAGGTGTTTGCATAAGCCCCTGGCTTGTTCACCTATCCCCATTTGTTGTGGAAATAAAAATATGTTTAAACCAACCACTAGGCTACCCCACCGCCCCTGTCAGATCCCAAGCTGAGCTGGCGTGTAGGTCTTCCTATGTATTTCATGGCAGAGTGAGGCATTCTGAAATCCAGATTTATTTTCAACAGTGAATTTTGTTTATTAATAAACTAGCATTGTACCAATCATGTGGGGAATCAGTCTTCGGCGCCGTGACCAGCCTTTAAGAGAGCATTTGGAGCGGTATCTGTGTGGTAGTGTATATGTGGGTGGGGAGGGTCTGTGTGGTAGTGCATGGGTGGGGAGGGACTTGTGTGGTACTGTGTATGTGGGAAGGGGAGGGTCTGTGATAGTGTGTGTGGGGGGAGGGTCTGTATGGTAGTGTGTATATAGGGAGGGAGGTCTGATAGTGTGTGTATGTGGTGTGGGGAGGTCTGTGTGGTAGTGTGTATGTGGGTGCAGGAGGGTCTGTGTGGTGGTGTGTGTATATGGGTGGGAGGGGTCTGTGTGTGTGGGGAGGGTCTGCTATGGTAGTGTATATGTGGGTGGGGGAGGGTCTGTATGGTTGTGTGCATGTGGGTGGGGAAGGGGGTCTGTGTGTATGTGTGGATGGGAGAGGGGGTATGTATGGTAGTGTGTATATGAGTGCGGGGAGGGGGTCTGTATGGTAGTGTGTATGTGGTTGAGGGAGGGATCTGTGTGGGTGGGGAGGGGGTCTGTATGGTAGTGTGTATATGAGTGGGGGAGGGGGTCTGTATGGTAGTGTGTATGTGGTTGAGGGAGGGGTCTCTGTGTGTGGGAGGGGTATGTATGGTGGTGTGGGGAGGGGTCTGTATGGTAGTGTTATGTGGGTGGGGGAGAGGGTCTGTATGGGTGGATGGGAGGGGAGGGTCTGTATGGTAGTGTGTATGTGGTTTGAGGGAGGGTCTGTGTGTGCCGGGTGGGGGTCTCTGTGTGGTAGTGTGTATATGGGTGGGGGAGGGGTCTGTATGGTTGTGTGTATGTGGTTGAGGGAGGGTCTTTGTGTGGTGGTAGTGTGTATGGGGTGGGGGAGGGAGGGTCTGTATGGTAGTGTGTGTATGTATGTGAGAGAGAGAGAGAGGATGCAGGTGTCTCTGGTGAGGGAGATGAGAGCAATGACAGCGACGGGACCTTGAATGTGGAGAAATTGCTCATATCAGGGGTTTTATTCAGTGCAACATTGTTTTGGTGATTTTATTGTATGGATATGTACCTGTGTGTGCAGGTGTGTGGTTTGTTGACACTGTATGATGGTAGCTACAGAATGATTGTTGATTGCATGGATGACTGCTAGTATATTATGAGAGAATGGTTTTATTGTTGTACTTATGGTGTCCAATAGGCCTAAATAGGCCGGACTCTCCCAGGGTGACACCTTGTAATAAACAAAGTTTCTATTTCTTTTTCTTTAACCACATACCCGGCCACCCCTTTTCTGATGATGAACAGAGGTATATTACCAACAAAGTCAAGGCATGTCACAGGTCCACTAGTGGTGTTCCGATTAATTGAAATAATCGAAGATTGGTCGCAGTGACCAAACGACCAAGCAATCGATTACATTTTCTCATAATCGAACATAAACGATTTTGAACTACTGTTTTAGTCTATGAAATACTTGACAATGGAACATATCTTAGAAGTTGTCAGGGCCTGAAAACATGTTTATTTCTTAGAAAACTCACTCCACTAACTGAAAAGTCATGACTGAATATTTCTCCAAGACTCCAGGAAGTTTATGCTCATGATATATTAGTCATCACTTTAATGTAGCACGTTGCAACATGTTATACTTTTCTGCAGTAACAACCTGGATAGAAAAATCTGAAAAATGACGCTAACCAATTTTTTTCGATGATTGTTCGTTGGTAATGAAGCAATCATCAATTGTGAGATTTCAACCAATTCCCAACACTAATGTCCACTAAGTCACTCTTTTTATTCTTTCCCACAATATACAAATGGCATAGCAGATGTAGAACCTCAGTAAATTAATTGATTTCAACACCATCTTTATCTGCATGACCTTTTCTTCAGGCACCGAACTGGTGCATCTGTCCTGCGTGACACAAATCGAGCTGAGTTGGCAACACCCGTCCAAACTCACTCAAGCCGAGCCAGGTGCGTCAATCCTGCCCAATCCAAGTTCAGTTGGCAAAGACATCCTGCCCGACCCAAGCAAAGGCTTCAGTTGGCAAATACATCCTGCCCGACCCAAGCAAAGGCTTCAGTTGGCAAATACATCCTGCCCGACCCAAGCAAAGGCTTCAGTTGGCAAATACATCCTGCCCGACCCAAGCAAAGGCTTCAGTTGGCAAATACATCCTGCCCGACCCAAGCAAAGGCTTCAGTTGGCAAATACATCCTGCCCGACCCAAGCAAAGGCTTTGTTTCTGGACCATCCCAAGACCCGTGAAGATCCGGGTTAGAATTGGTCTTCAGTAACCCATGCTTGTCATAAGAGGCGGGTGGTCAGGCTCGCTGACATGGTTGACACATGACATCATATCCCAATTGTGTAGATTGATGCTCATGCTGTTGATCACTGGATTGTCTGGTCCAAACTCGATTATTTACAGACCGTCGCCATATAGCTGGGATATTGCTGAGTGCGGCGTAAAACAACAACCAAACCATCACCCGGATGCACAGGTTGGAATTATAATACGTTGATACGTTCTCATATAAATAGCTACAGTAAATAAGGATTTTGTTAACATGTGATTGATCTTTTTTCAGCGGAATATCCCAACTGCTTTTCTCAAGCCAAACCAAACCCAAGCCGAGCTGGTTCGTCCAACCTGCCAGAATACAGTCTAAGCTGCGAGCTAGTGGTTAAAGGTTGGCTCGTCCGAAGACCTCGGTTTGAATCCCCACATGGGTACATTGTGTGAAGCCCATTTCTGGTGTCCCCCGCTGTGATGTTGCTGGAATATTGCTAAAAGCGGCGTAAAACCAAACTCAGTCAGTCAGTCAGTCTAAGCTGCTTTGTCGCATTACCAGAAAGTTAACAGTCCCAGTCCCATCTCATGTAAGTTTTACTTAGAACCTTAGTGAATTAATTAATTCCAACACCATCTTCATCGTCATGACCTTTATTTCATTATAGACATAAGTACTTCAAAATCTTTGTGGTTTCATCATACAAGCTCACTATTTCATACATAATGGAACAAAATTATATCCATAATTATTAACATTTGCTTGATAATAATACTTGACATATTGCAATGATAATTAAAATATTGTACAGACTAAATGAAGTGATTGTTACTTAATTTTAATGACTCTACTAAAAAATAACAACAAAAACCAGAATAAAAGCTTACAAATCAAGTTTTCCACAAAAGAGCCCAAACTAAAACTTTTCCAGATTAAGAAACAAAAGACTGATAAAGTTCTAAATAAAATAAAAGTAATTACGTCTTCACCGATACAGTGACGACACAGGGATCAACAAAGTCGTCATCTATCCCACATTTAGAACTTGTCATATCAATCTGAATCAGACATTTCAAAATCTTCTACAACATCATCAAGGTCAAGGTCACTGTCATCATCCATTTGCTTGGGCTTTGATGTCTGCTTCTGCTGTTTGTTTGCAAACTTCTTCTGCTTGCCTCGGGTTGGTTGAGGTTCCTCATCATCATCTTCGTCATCATCTTCGCTATCGTCTTCGTCGTTTTCGCTGGCTGACTGAGCTAACTGTTCCAAATCATCACTGTCGAAATCACTGAAAAAGTTCAATAGGTTAAATTATTAAACTGGTATATTCTTTACTTACTTCTTCTTTCATTGAATAGTTTTTATTTCTGCTCTATATTTCATGGATTCCTGTAAATACTCGAATCTGTATCAGGCCAACAGAGAGGAACAATCCCAGCAATGTCACCAAGACAACTACCTGATCCCTGAAAGTAATCTCCAGATGCAGAGGCTCCAGGGAAACTATTCCTGCCACAGATGGGATGGTGATATACTATGTAGATAACAAGTGTAGAAGTGAGCACAGCTCACATCCCCCTGCTTCCCACTCTTTGGACATGGAAATGACTGATATTGATATATATAATGTGACAAGGATCAGCAGCTCACAAGACTTTCTCCTTGACTCTACTAAACTTTTTAGATGATAGTTTTGCCATGTACTGATTACAGTAATAATTTATGGAAACATTATTTTGTTGTGTTTTCCGTGGAAACCTGACATACAATTGAACTTTTGCACACAATGAAGTGGATGTAGATGAAGATTGTTATTTTTGAGCACATGGCATATCTGTGGGTCATGATTAACTTGTGTATTAAGTTTGGTGAATCTAGCATGTATAGTTTCGATGATATGCTGTGGCCAGGTAACCATCAAACACATTTTGCACCAAGTCATGTTTCCATGGAAACAACAACAAAACAAATTCTGAAAAACTTTAAAATAGCAAAAGGCACATCAATGGGTAATGATTAATGTGTGTGAAGTTTGGTGAACCTAGCATATAAACTTTAAGAGATATGTTCCGACAAAGTTTTTCGGGACGGACGGATGGACAGAATGAACGCTATATACCCCCGCTACATTTCAGAGCGGGGTATAATTATGTCCTTATTGCTGTATGTCCCAAATATTACAGCTGAAGAGGCATTTCTACAGATACTACAGATATGTGGAAGTCCCAGTGGCTGAGCGGGTTAGGAGGCTGACTTTGCGTGCTGGCGATTTGGTGCCTGACTCTGGAAACGGCAGTGTGAGTACTCTAAGTATTTATCCTTTGTTTCCCTTCCAGGAAACGTCTTCCACAGTTAACAAAGATTCACGAGGATAATAGGAAGCAGGATACGGTGAAGGCGATCGTCCACAAACTCATGGCGTGTCTGCGTGAACGGAACCTTGACCAGAGCATGCACATCACGAAGACAGAGCTGACTGAAGGGGACAGAGCTTCTGTCACTTCTCAACTCCATCATGCTGAGCGAGTTAGTCAGGAAGCACCTTTAGAACACAGCACCCCAACTTCTCGTGTGAACGGTCTCTGCTGTAGGTTACGTGTCACTAAGACAGGCAACCAGTTTTGGGAGAATCCGTCAACCCACGACCTTCGGATTGTTAGCCTGACAGTTAACCAACTGAGCTGCGTCCATGCTGTTACACAACTTGCAAATTTATCTAGTCATTCCTGAGATGTTACAGAAATGAAAGGAAAGAGTTGAATAGGTTGTGAACAATTACGAAGGTTACAGGCAGACTTGGTGTCTCGTGATTTTAATCAACGGACAATCAACGAATGTTCCTGATGGCACACTTGTTCCATTCTGTAATCTACAATATACCGAATGGTGTGGAATGAGCCGATATAGCTCTAACTGAAAACGCGATTGTTGACGTCAGACGTCAAGTTCATGGTATGCATGAATGGCATGCTTTTAAAAAAATCATCACATGATTTTGTGACAGAAAGGTGTTGTAGGGGACACTGTAAGGATAATGTGGATCGCACTAAGGAATGTCCTTCCCCTTCAGCAATACATGTATTACACAGAAAATTGACGCAAACTGTTGAATTCATGCAGATCATTTTTAAGGAATTTTAGATATTTAGCTGCAAATGATTTTTACTTTGTGCAAACTTGCAGAGTTTGCTGTGGAACTGCTGCCCATGGACACCATCTTACCTGTAATCTTGACTGTCCTCCGAGTCTCCTGGGGCCGTCTTCTGTTTCTTGGCAGGGCGCTCTTTACGGGGCAGAAACCTGAAAATATGACCATAGCTTTGTAGAAGGATGAGGTCAAGCAGTTTTCCTGAACTAGTTGTGAGGAAATTAGTGGCACAGTTAGATTTTAACATCAAGATCTGACCTTGAAAAGGTCATGTGAACCTAAGGGAACTCTGACTTGCAGAAATGAATTGTAGGATGTTGAAGATATGCTGGCTTCTGTGCTGATTCAGGTATCTTAGACTAATGCTAAGTCTCTCAATATATGGAGTTTTTATGGAAACAACAAACTTCATTTAAAATGAAAATTACTACAGATTTTACAAATATCATTTTTAGGCTATTAGGTGCCCAACTCTGAGGGTGTGGGTTCGAATCCCGGATGGGACTCAACCCAACAAAAGTACTAGAATCTGTACTTTACTGAGAAAGTGTAATCCCAAATATAACATATGTTACATTTGACCACTTTCTAAATGGCATTGTGTATTCAAATATCATTTTATTGAGATTGGTTCATAAGCTTTTTAATTAAATGAAGTGTGATAATTTTGATTGCCTTCAACAAGTCCAGACTGCCAAATTCAGGGTCTTTTCAAGCCTCCATGGCTCAATTCAAGGCCTTTTCAAGCCTACATGGCTCAATTCAGGGCTTTTTCAAGCCTACATGGCTCAATTCAAGTCCTCTTCAAGCCCACATTGCTCAATTCAAGGCCTCTTCAAGCCTACATGGCTCAATTCAAGTCCTTTTCAAGCCTACATTGCTCAATTCAAGGCCTTTTTTGACTCAAAGGCCCCTACATGACTCATTTCAAGGCCTTTTGCCTACATGGCTCAATTCAAGGCCTACACTGCTCTTTTCAAGCCTACATTGCTCAGTTCAGGGCTTTTTCAAGCCTACATGGCTCAATTCAAGGCCTTTTCAAGAGTACATGACTCAATTCAAGGCCTTTTCAAGCCTACATGGCTCAATTCAAGGCCTTTTCAAGCCTACATGACTCAATTCAAGGCCTTTTCAAGCCTACATGGCTCAATTCAAGGCCCCTCATTTCAAGGCCTACACATGCTCAATTCAAGGCCTTTTGAAGCCTACATGGCTCAATTCAAGGCCTTTTCAGGCCTTTTGAAGGCTCAATTCAAGGCCTTTTTTTCAAGCCTACATGGCCTCAATTCAAGGCCTTTTCAAGCCTACATACATGGCTCAATTCAAGGGCCTCTTCAAGCCTACATGGCTCAATTCAAGGCCTTTTCAAGCCTACATTTTCAAGCCTACATGGCTCAATTCAAGGCCTTTCAAGCCTACATGGCTCAATTTCAAGCCTACAAGGCCTTTTCAAAGCCTACATGGCTCAATTCAAGGCCTTTTCAAGCCTACATGGCTCAATTCAAGGCCTACATTTTTCTTTCAAGCCTACTCGTGGTTCAATTCAAGCCTTTTCAAGCCTACATTGCTAGGGCCTTTTCAGCCTACATGGTTCAATTCAATTCAAGGGCCTTTTCAAGCCTACATTGCTCATTACCAGGGCCTTTTCAAGCCTACAGTGCTCAATTCAAGGCCTTTCAAGCCTACATTCTCATTTTAGGGCCTCTTCAAGCCTACATGGCTCAATTCAAGGACTATACTTTTCAAGGACTTTTCAAGACTTTCAGACAAATTTCAGGCTTTATATATGTATTTTTTTATTTCAGATAAAGAGGTTCCATTTAGAGGTCCGTGAACAGGTTATGAACTTACCTCTTATAGCATATGTCACATTACATTGATCTCCATTTTTTTTTTAAGAATTACAAAAAACACACACTGACATCCACTAATACATGACTAAATATTGTTTGTAGTTTTCAATAATCTATTATTTTAGAAAAAAAATCTCTTGACTGATCCCTTGCAAGAAAATTAAAAATTAAATATATTTGTAATTTAAGGAAGTCATTAACACTAGTCTACTTGGCTCTCAAAAAGCATGTGATAAAGCATCCAATTTTTATAAAACTTGATTTGATTGCAATTTTTACATGCTATTTCTCTCTCGAGTATATATCTATATGATTTCAGGCTTTTTAACATATATGCTGCCAAATTTGATGGCTTTTTCAAGCCTGTCCTGATGAACTTTGGTCTTTTCAAGTCTATACAGCAAGATTTACAGTCCTTTTCAAGCCTGATTGAACAAAACAACCTACAAAGTGAAAACATCCCATACCGTGTCTCATCATCGTTGGAATCATCGCTGTCAGAATCAAACAGCTCGGAGAATTTCTTCCGATCTTCTGCTGTGGCTTTGGGAAGGACCTTAGGCCTCTCAATAGTTGGGATGTTGTCGTCTAAGCTTATCTGCAGAAACAAGGGAAGTCAGATGAATTTTATGATATGTTCATGAATCTCCAAACAATGGACAATTCTTTCACTGACTATCTCCACAGTTAAAGTGTACACAGACTCCTACAGAAATGGACTCTGTAACTCATGTCTTTAACAATGTCATATGGTTATGTAAGCTCAGTTAAAAATATTTCTTAACTTAAGTTCTGCTGACTTAAATTCTGCTGAATCATCTCTTAAAAGGACATGGTCAGGCTATTAGGCAAAAATGGTTTTGGCACCACACTTGATATACCCCAGGGTATGTTTTCATGAAGCACGGTCGATGTGCTACCTACCCTGTCTTTCCCAGCAATCTCATGCTGCAACTCCCTGTCACGGAGCTTCCTCCATCCAGTGTAGAACTTGGTCAGAGGGGCACCTGCTGCAGAACACTGTCTCTGCCAGGCATCCTGAAGTTGAAAATCAATGTGAAAAATTAAGGTGTGAGTGAGTGAGTATGGCTTAACGCTGTTTTTAGCAATATTCCAGCAATATCACGATGGGGGACACCAGAAATTGGCTTCACACATTGTACCCATGTGGGGATTCGAACCCGGGTCTTCGGTGTGACGAGCGGATGCTTTAACCACTAGGCTACCCCACCGCCCGAAAATCAATGTGAAAAATTAAGATGTATGTATTTGCATATACATGTTTTTTGAGGGGAGTAGAATAATTATTTATATCTTACACACAATCATTAGGGGACTGTTTTTTTCTCAATGTAATCAAAGTTTAACAGATAAAGCTACGTAAAATCTTAAAGAGATTCAAAAAATTAAGATATTTGCAATAAAATAACTTCATTGACACTTTTATTGTAATGTTGAAATGGCAGTTTTGAATCTGAATAAAATATCAGAACTTCAAGGGGAAGAACTCCTGTGTGTTTGTGTTGATGCTGACAAGTTTGGCGGTAGAGCGCATGTTCCAGAACTCCTTCACCACATGGATTACAGGTACCAGACAAATGTACATCTAGAAATTCATCCTTTATATTTAACAAACATAAAATTTTAAGGAGTTGATATTGATGTACAAGCCTGACATGCAAAACATACACTCGACCCTGAAACTCCTGTAACACATAAACAATTATAAGATGCTCATACCACAGACTTTGTATCGCTGATAGCAAATGTTACAGCTTTCCTACGTTGAGTGATGAACTTGACGTTTTCTTCCACTTTGTCCACAATCTGGCGAATCTGCTTGCAGTAGTTGGCGATCTTACATTTCTTTAAAAACTCCTTAAGCTGCAAATGTGAAAACATGACATTGTTTCTTCTTGAATGACTGACTGACTGAGTTTGGTTTTATGCCGCTTTTAGCAATATTCCAGCAACATCAACGGCGGGGACACCAGAAATGGGCTTCACACATTGTACCCATGTGGGGATTCGAACCCGGATCTGCGGCGTGACGAGCCAACGCTTTAGCCACTAGGCTACCCCACCGCCCGTTTCTTCTTGAACACCGAAATAGTCCAGCTATATCACAGGAATCTATAAATTACAAACACTAAACCAGACAATCCAGTGATTGACATCGTGATGCACACTTCACTTGACAACAAATCCAGCTGTATTACAGCAATTTATAAGTAACTGAACCAGATAATCCAGTGACTAACATCATGAGCACTGCTTCATGTAATTGGGAGTGAGTGAGTGAGTATGGTTTTACGCCGCTTTTAGCAATATTCCAGCAATATCACGACGGGGGACACCAGAAATGGGCTTCACACATTGTACTCATGTGGGATTCGAACCCGGGTCTTCGGCATGACGAGCGGACGTTTAACCACTAGGCTACCCCACCGCCCCTTCATGTAATTGGGATAAGTCTAGTAGAAGTTCATTATCATAGGTGATTAGATTCTTTTTTTCTGACATCATGAAGTTCAATATGACATGAGAATCTCCTCAGGTAAATAGGCTGCAAATACCTGGAATATATTTTCTAAACAAAAACAGGTAAAGTTTACTCACCTGCAACATAGCAGGTAGCACAAGTTCTGGGAAGCCGATGGAGGCGGCGTGGATGTTGAAGTGTTCCAGTAGAAGCTCGTACAGCTGATCCACAAGCCCATCCTAGAAACACAATGTCAGATGATGATGATGATCGATGATATAGCAAACGTTGTAAGTTCTTGGCTGATCAACATGTCTTAATGATAAAGTTATATTTACGATGTTTCACTGTTCATCTATTATTATTGAAAAAAAACACTTGCATGTTTTAAGCATCTGAAAAACCATGGATATGCACGATAAACACTGTTAATTGCAATCCGCACTGAATTTCACTAGTTTACAACGTGATTAACCAGAGCTCAACAGCGGATTTGTTGATGTGCTATTTTCGATGACGTGAATATGTGTGATCACTGGGCAACTTTTTGTATGGGAGCCACGGATTACCCCGCGGTTTAACCGAATCCGTGGTATCGCGAAGAGCGTTATTGCGAGGGATGACTGTACATGTATACTACTATCACATTCAGTCAATATCATGCAAAGTAGAATTATTGTAGGAATAAAGAATCCTGCTGATAAAACAATATCATAATAAACATTTACAGCCACAGTAATAATAACAATATCTTTCCTCAAGAAAAATTTTTTTGCGAATACCTTTGGTAGCAAAGATTGAGCTCACAATTTCACAACAAAGATTTCCAAAGTTATTTTGTTCAGTATTTGTTCAGTATTTAAACAAATAATCAATTCATTTTGCACTGTTTTCAACATAAAAGCAATCAATTAAAACCACAAGAAATCTACAATTGATGAAATGCAGTTGTGTTAATGAGTGAGTGAGTGGGTTGGATTTTACGCTGCTTTTAGCAATATTTCAGCAATATCACAGTGGGGACACCAGGAATGGACTTTACACATTGTACCCATGTGGGGAATCTAACCCGGGTCTTTGGTGTGACAAACGCTTTAACCACACTAGGCTACCCCATCGCCCCTTGTGTCAATGAAATACTACCAGCACCCCATAAAGAAATTAATCAGAAATTTTCAAACATTGAATGATAAAAAAGAACTGGAAATGCATTCTTGTTTTTTATTTGATGGTTTTATAGAAATTCTACCTTGAAGACCTTCTCTTCCTGCTGTTTCTTGGAGAACTTGAGGATGCAGGCAAAGTTGAAGGGTTTAAAACTGACAGACTTGTGCTTCTTGTTGAAGTCAGTGAGCTCAAACACCTGAAAAATAATGTCAAACTTAAAATGGGACTGAAAATTAGGAAAAGAATTCAAAGACAAACAGCATGTCCTCTTCAATAATTTCTTGAACTGAAAGTGAAATAATAAAAAAAAATCCAAAACAATGCTTATTGTTTTGTGTAGTATATATGAAATATAATTCTAAAATATCATGTATATTCAGTACAGCTGAATGGTATACATCAGTTCTCGTAGTCTGTCTCACAGTCCCTGAACCACATTATTTTCGCTAATGCCTAGCCCGCCCTGCACTGCTGAAGCCCTAAATGAAACAAGTTTAGATTCCCCCAGGTTCATGCTCCCACCTGTCTATATTCCACATTTTATGGTCTGAATCTCCCAACTCAGTGGGGCTCCTTTTCAATTTAAACGGGTTTATTTGTTACTATCAAAATTATATATATTCAGGGACTAAGCATTAGTGTACAGTTCTTGGTGTAACACAATATTTACCATCGATTCAGTTTTCAATTGTGTTGTTTAAACAGTTCAGTAAGGTCAACATTACAAATTGCCTGATAATACGAGGAGTCTCTTTATTATGATACTGATATGAGGAGGTCACTTTATTATGATCTGTATGATAATACTGAGGGTCTCTTTATGATAATACTGAGGGGTCTCTTTAGGAGTCTCTTTATTATGACGAGGGGTCTCTTTATTATACGAGGAGTCTCTTTATGATAATCTGAGGAGTCTCTTTATGATATCTGAGGGGTCTCTTTATGGAGGGGTCTCTTTATGATAATACGAGGAGTCTCTTTATGATAATATGAGAGTCTCTTTATGATAATATGAGGAGTCTCTTTATGGACTAATTCTTTACGCTCAGCCTCATCATCATTTGTTTTATTTCTAGTCAGGGATTGACATTTCCTCATTAGTTCATCATTGTTACAACAAATACACATTTGTTAGCGAACATATCGTGTTTCCCTTGTTTTGTATGCAATTTGTATACTGAAACAAAACATACTGAACTTTGAGATCTTTACCGTGATCCGTATCGTATTGAAAAGATTGTATGTCTTTGGCAGATGTTCACTTATATTCTCAGGTGTATTGGGACCATAAAACTGTTCTTAGCAAGAGTTACCTCCCTTACATCAGAAAACCAATGGAGACTGAAGTGTTGCATCATTTCTTGGCTCGTTGCCAGCTCTATGTCTGTGTCGAGTTAACGAGCTGCAGTGGCGACAGAGCATTTAACCACACAATAAACCTAACGAAGAGCATATCCATAATTAATGCTCAACCATCTTGTACTGGCTTAGACAGGTCTCACCCTGAATGTACTTAAAAACATGAGAAAGATTGAACAGCAGTCAAAACGTGTTAGCTACAGACTGCAATTCAAGTCTTTTTGACATCTTGTCTGGTTTTCCAGCAGCATAAGAAAAAAATACTTCATGTTGGTGACATTTTGTTGTTCTTCAGCCTACTACCAAGCATAGTCGCTGCATGGAACAGAATAAGTCCCTAGTGCTGATACAGTGTGCCACCAACAATAATAGTCCTAAGAATACAATACAAGTACAAATCTGCAAAATATAATATCAAATCAAAATGGATGCCAGGACACTGATAAATGTCAGGAATTTATAAAACACAACTTACTACTTGATTAACATTCTAGAGTGAGTGAGTATGGTTTTACAGCTTTTAGCAATATTCCAGCAATATCACAGCGGGGGACACCAGAAATGGGCTTCCACATTGAACCCATATAGGGAATTGAACCCGGGTCTTCGGTGTGAGGAGCCAACACTTTAACCACTAGGCTACCCCATCGCCCAGGCATTCTAGAAGTTGGTGAGTCAATAGCGAGGCATGCAACTTTATGGATAACAACTTCTTGTTTATTGCATAGAGCGACATTTCTGTGTAGATTCTTACATCTTGTTTATTGCATAGAGCGACATTTCAGTGTAGATTCTTCCAACGTTATCAAGCTGAGACTGACTACAACCAAGTGATGAGAGGTATACATGGTATGATATGACAACAGCAGATTAACATTAACAACAGCAAGTAATTAATAACAAGTGGTACAAAATTGGATGCTCTAAACTGGAGTTGGAGTCTTTTTTCAATATATGTGAGAAGGGTCTACATTCCACACTGTAGTTTCATTGAAGATATTATTTAAAAATTACAGAAATGTATTGTATTTTGTACAAACCAGATCTATTAAGATTATTTTCACCAGAATAAATCTTGCTACAAAATCAAACACTCTACACAAGACTAGGTACTTTCATAGTCATGTTTATGCTGATTGCTCCGAATAAACAACATTTGATTTTCTCCGCACATGGTGTTGTATTTGGTTAGGTTAACCAATATTTTGTATATCACACATCCGTATCACATGTACTGATGCAGTGGTAGATACCATCATTGTTTGATTATGATCACACATAATAATCTACTGTATTTTTGTGCAAGCCAAATCTATTAAGACTATTTTACTACCATGCAATAAATCAGCATTGGAACAGCATTTGCTATTCACTCTATCAGGTGATGTATTTGGTTAGGTTCACCAATATTTTGTGTATCACACATCCGTATCACATGTACTGATGCAGTGCAAGATACCATCATTGTTTGTTTACAATCACATAGGAAATTTCCATATGCTGCATTGGCTAGACAGTCACCAACTGTACACAATAGAATATCTGCCTTCTCAATCACTTATACACGTCAACCAGTTTCATATAGACTGAAATAGCAGGCAGCTGCGAGATTATTGATTGACTGGAAATATGGAAATATAAAGATGGGTAGTGTTGGCGCTTTGACCTTTCCTTGACAAAAAGCCCACGCAATCGGCAGCCTTTCTGGCATGCTGACATTTGAAAAACTTTGTATGCTAATGGGAGCTGGGATATAACCATTATAACGTGTGCCTACGCAACCCCAGCGATCAATGTAATCAATGTAACACAATGTACAGTGTGGCAGTAGCTACACATTGTTATTACATATGAATGCTCAGCACTATAGAGCTATATTGAGATGGGGCTTGTTTAACAGAATGTGAAACACATTTCCAGGAATTGATTAAGAATTACTTCTATGTAGACATTTGTTATCACCATTTGAAACTACTCCTGGTACAAGCCAATATACATAGTGGTACTTTGACTGAACTACTGAAGCTTAAAACCAACATATACATTTTTATTCTGATTATAACATAGTAGTGTAAACATCATTATAATATATACATACTTGCTGCTTTGTTTGAGTGGCATTCTAGAAGTTGGTGGTATAGAGACGACAAGCCTTTATGGATGATAAATAAAGGCTTGTCATCTCTATACATAATTACTCTTAAAAAACATACTTATTAAACACACTTTATTAATAAAAAAAGACATTTTAAACCAAAATTTGTCTAAAAAAATACGAAAAAAGGAGTGAGTGAGTGAGTTTAGGTTTTACGCTGCTTTTAGCAATATTCCAGCAATATCACGATGGGGTGTTGAACCTGAGTCTTCACGCAGATGAACGAATGCTTCAACAACCAGGCTACCAAACCCCCACCCACCCCCACTTCGTAATAGTCTTTGAATTGAGGTGAGGTGAAATTGGGTTTAACGTCGTGCTTGAGAATATTTCACTCATATGACGACGTGCATGCGTGTGTATGTGTATGTGAGGCTGCTTGTACTAGCCCAGACTGAAGCTGGTTTTATAGTGCTAGCCCACTGAGATACCATGCTGCAGTGAAGCATGAATACCCTACTCCTTGTTGTACCCATTAATGCCGAGCGCCAGGCAGGGACCAACAAGTACCATATTTTAACGTCTTTTTGCTATGACGCGGTCGGGGATTGAACCCACGACCTTCCGCTCTCTGGGCGGATGCTCTAACCACTACACCATGGAGGCAGTTTCTTTGAATTGAATTATGACATAGATTAAGTTGCTTTGCTTTGGAAACAATTTTTTAATAAATGTCGATGAAGACAGATCAAGCTGACTGGCCATTTTTTGAGTGCCAAAAGGTAACAGTACTTTTTGGTCACATCACAACATTAACGACAGCTGTATATTATTTTGTAATCCAAGGTCGGAGGATGATGGGAAACAGAAAAAAAGGTACAGACAACCTTCGACTACTGCAATGAAACAGTCATTAATCAATTTAATTTTTACAGTTTGACAAAGAAAATCGCTATGTTTACATTATGGAAAAGACATTAATCAAGTTAATGTTTACAGTTTGACGAAGAAAATCTTTACATTTGTATTCAGTTCAAACTAATGTTTTTGGTACAAATAATACGATTAATTAAAGCGATTGATTGATTAACTCATGGGAAGGTAGAGCTGAAGAAACACATGGTCTCTATTGAACTGAATAATAACAACAGACATTTGTCTCCATGGTGAAATAAAGTAGAGTAGAAATAAAATATGTAGTGGAGAAATGGATTTCTTTATTATAAATAGGGGGCAGTGGGGTAGCCTAGTGGTTAAAGCATTTGCTCATCACGCCAAAGACCCAGGTTCGATTCCCCACATGGGTACAATGTGTGAGGGGCGGTTGGGTAGCCTAGTGGTTAAAGCGTTCGCTCATCACGCTGAAGACCCAGGTTCGAATCCCTACATGGGTAAAATGTGTGAAGCCCATTTCTGGTGTTCCCCGCTGTGATATTGCTGGAATGTTGCTAAAAGCGACGTAAAACTAAACTCACTCACTATAATAAAGGAAGCAGAAAGAGCAGAATGCTCAATATTCAGCAAATCCTTGCCCACCCCCTCCCCCGTGAAGATTAAAAAAAAATAACTATCCTGTTACATTCTGTAATATTTCCACAACACAAAAGGTCAAGGTTCAAATATATCATAACAAACACTCCCCATGTCTTCTTAGCGACAATGACATTAGCATTAAGAATGCCCCGATGAATTGAAACCTTCACTCCTCTGTACGCATGAGTGACTGTGAGTCACTAAGGGTA